CTGCCTCCTGGACCAAGAACAGTGCGGATGCAGCCAGACAGACCGGCGCTAGGCACGGCCTCGCAAGTGCCGTCTCGAGAAGCTGTCTGCAGGAGACCGAAGGAACTTAGAGTCTGGTGACCATTTGGAACCCTAGAGGGACTCTGTTCACGCGCTCCGGCCGGATGGACGTCAAATAATTTTCCTCTCTTCGTCTGAGTCGCCAACACTCTATTTTTTGTCTCGGAGACGTGCTCCAGCCTCGAGCGCGAAAGACACACCTTCACGGAATCCGTAGTCGCGTCGGCGGCACTAAGTTCAGTCGAGGCATCGCCAGTCTGCAGGTGTGCCTGCAGCTTAGTCTTGTGTCGGTCAGATCGAGAGGAAATTGCCTCGGGCAGCACATCACTCACTGGTACTACCGGCTTCTGTTTTAAGTGGCCCCATCTCCAGCTCGAGAAAATGGGCAGTGTAAAAAAGCGCGAGGCCCGAGATCTGTTTGAGGCCTCGCCTACAATCGCTGTCGCCTTTCTTCGGCCAACGCGACGCCCCTTGCAGCCGATCGACACATGGTCTTTGCTTGGACCATCAGTCACTTCATGAATGTTGGAGGGAGGCGTGGAAGAGGGAATCTTCTCTGAAACCGGTTCCTTAGAAGCCTTCCAGAAGCCAGTTGATGACGAGTTAGACAGGGTCATGGTGAACTGGCCGTCCTTTGGGAGAGCAACGACTCCACGGGAAGCAGCTTTTTGACCGAGAATAGACTCCAGTGAAGGCGGAGAAGCTAAGGAAGTCGTGCAAACATTCGGAGAGGCGAAATAAGGTGATATTTGGATTCGCGGATCATACATTAGGGGCAAGGCAAACGGTGTTGTTAATGTACCACCGACAAGGTCATTGCCTAAAGGAGGATGCGATTTTTTGCCGGAGTCAGCATGGTCAGCAAGAATAGTGGAAGGAGGTATTGACATAGTGATCGTAAGACCAGTGGAGACGAGGCTGGTACCAGAGAGACAAGACGAAGTAGGAGTGAACTTCGGGCGTCCCGACCAGCAGGATGTCAACGAGTCTGGAGACGGCGAGACTAAGTGCTGCAAATGCTGATGGTCGTGGTTGGTAAGATTGTGAAAATGAAGAGCCTGACTCGAGGAAGGAGCAGATGCGATGGATAATTGAGGTGATTGCACGCTTGACGCAAAACATGTGCCATTATAATTAGTGACGTCTAGCCCCGCAAGATTGTCCTGCTGGATGATGAAGGGCGGGGGAGGCAACGAGGCCGAGGTAGATTTCGAACTTGAGATGACAGATACGATGCCTTTGGAGCCGCATGACCACTTATGAGAACAAGACCCAAGTCCTAGTCGACCCAGGGCAGCAACATTGGAGCAAGCTGGTGCAGGTGGAGGATTGTTAAGCGAATCCTCAGCCGGTGAATTGGGGAAGGCCCTTTGGCTAAGCGATGCAAGAGAGCTAGGAAGGAAGAAAAAAATCAACAATTTCGTCCAGGTTCGCCCCAAGCTAGTAATGAAAATGTTTTGGGGTACAGTTAAAATGAAGAGAAGCTTGGATGCTATCAGCTTCGACGACCAGCGAAAAGTTATGGACAATATTTTAAGATTTGTCCACTAGAAATAGCTATGAGAGCAACGTCGCTCACTAGTGAGCTATTTAAAGACTTAACAAAAAAAGTAAAACAACGGAAAAGTTCGTAGATGAAAATAAGATGAATTTAGAAGTATCAAGACATGAAGTTAGACACCAGCCGCCAACACACCGTTTTTGGCAATGCGCACAGTGTGAATTGGAACGTCAAGTGAGTAAGTTAGCTAACAACAATCCACAGAAGAATCAGGTTTATACGATAATAACCTGATTCAAGGTAGCCAAGAGTGAGGAAAAGGAAGGAAAGTGTCTGAACGAGGGCAATATCGCCTATTTAGGCGGATTTATGATGATAGCCCAGAAAGACCAAGAGCCGGTTTTGTACGTAGCCGAGAAAAACAGTGAAAGAAATTTATATATAAACTAGCCATACTACCTAGTAAGTGCGCATAGTGTAGAATTTCCAGACTTCCAATCAGCTAGCCAAGGTCCATATGGGTAGGTAATATTATTAAATGACTAGACATAAAGGATGAGAGTTATCTTATAAAACCAAGGAAATCAGAGATTAATGAAGTTCAAAATTACTCTAAGAATAGCATGAATTTGTCACGAACTTATCAGTTTTGAGAATGTGCAATGCTGAGTACCAGACAAAAATTTCCAGACGCCAAGCCCTGGCAAAAGCACAACTGTAACACCAAGCAAAATTCCTTGCCGATCTGAGAATCCATCACCGTTTATGATGCAGTGTGATTATTAATGGAGAACAGGCTTTGACACTACCAGTAGATATTATAATAACTAACGTTTCTTTGGACGTAAAGGCTTGATAAGTAAGCTTTCAACAATGAAATAAATAGGCCTTATGATGGCATTACATTTTTAGTGTTTCGAAGAGGACGCTGACTGTCTCTAAAATATAAAACGCCTGCGCTCTACAGCCCCACAGTTGGAGACCCCGAAACAAAGCGAAAAGGAAAAATAGTATTACCAAGTATCCTATTTGGAAATGGCTGAATACAGTATAGGATAGTGATTCCCAAATTGTGCGCCGCGGCGTCCCGAGGAGCCGCGGCATCTTTACAGGAGCGTCGCGAAATATTGCAAAAGCTTCGATTTGAGAAAATGTGCAGTGATTTGCAGGCTCATCCATCACAGTAATTATTTAATATTAATTTAATGTTAATAAAGTAAAAAAATAATGATGATACACGAGTTTTATTTATTTTTATCTATTACTTACGAATAGTCATACTTAGGGTAGGGCGCCATGGAAAAATGTTTATTGAAAAAGGGCCCCGTGACTAGAAAAAGTTTGGGAACCACTGGTATAGGGGGCTAACAAAATAAAGATAATCATTGAAAGGCAGCCCGAATTAGAAAGGTCTGGAGTCCGCGAGACACAGCGGAGGGAAAAAAGGGGAAGAAGAAAACGTGACCAACCAAATCAGCTATTTGATATACCATTACGCAGTTTTACATGTCAACTTCTGTTTGGACGATACGGTGCCAAGCTTTAATTGATCGACGAGAAATAAAGAGTGCCATTGACTCGTGCGACCTCTGCTGCCAATGCTGTTGAGCCATGGCTAGGTGTGGGATGTAACAAAACTAAACATTGAATGGAAAAGTGTAGGGATAGGTCACTTAACATTCTACTACGCCTTGTCTCCAGAAGGGATTTAGGGTGGACTGCAGTACCGACCTCGCATTCGCCTCATCAACATCCTAACAGGATTCGTGTGCGTCAAATGGCAATACGTCTCCAACCCGCCACAGCCCTGGATGGTAGTGGTCACATCTTATTAGTAGTGCTTATTAAAGCAAGGCGAGATCGAAATTGGCATCCAGGTCGAATGATATACTTCTGGAAGGCAGGCATTACGTGGCCCTCTACTTATGCCATTTTGGGAAACTCACCTATCAAGCCTTCCATCATAGGTAATCCAAAGTGACTATAAAGGAGAGTCAGGCTAGTCAACATGTACTCGGAAAGAGATGCAGACTAAGATGTTATCGCAACGGCTGGGAATGTTCCGAGCCGAAATTCCGAAGCTGGAAATTATCATGATTGCTATGACAGAGAACTTTGGATGTGTTTTCATCTAGGGAATGGTAAGCGACGAACAAATTATGAAAACGAGATAAATGCACTTACATGCAGAAAGTGTTTTAAATGACCACTTAAAAATGAATGTATATATATAAGAATATGTAGTGTACTTACTTCTTGGGTGGCTGGCAGTTTGAGGGCTTATGACTGATTTCCGCCTGACAGAGCTGACCAGGGCTGCGGTCCGGATCGCTGAAGCCAGGTCCTCTGCTAGCCGTCCGGAACTCAGCCTCAAAGGGACTTTTGTCATTCCACATCGCAGCTGACAAGTTGGGCTGACCTGCCCTCGTTAAACACATCGAAGTCTGGGAACCCATTGCTGATTTTTGACGATGGATACCTTGGAAATGTGCTTGTGGAGAGGCAGGAAAGGGACGGGGTATAGGGGAATTAGAAGGGTGGTGTAGTTCGCAAGTCAGAGGATAAATTTGCTGCTGCTGGTGATGGTTCTGATGGCGATGATGATATTGCTTATGATGGTGACGGCGATGTTGATGATGACGACCAGAACGACGATGTTGTTGGAAGTCTTTTTCTATATATGGCTCTCTAAATCTCGATTTACAGTAACAGGACGCACAGTAGGGCTGCGATTGGGGAGCTTGGCTCTCAACGATAGGGTGCCGCCTACCGAAAGTCCCTGGCCGGCTGGGGATCGTCTTCTTATTCCCCTCTGTCAGCTCATTGAGTACCGAGTTGACTGCCATTCTTTCAGTCTTCGAGGTTAGGCTGACTGACCTGTGCTCACTTTCACAAGATCGAACCAAATGAGGATCAGCAAAATGCCGATTGGATTGCCGGCGACATTGGGGAATGTCCACATAACCATCCCTACCACCTATTTGGAGAACTCCAGTATCCTTTTTTGCGCAGCAGGGACACGGCTTGTTTCTTGAGGTATCATGGCAAGTGATTTCCAAAGGCGAGTTCGCACCAGCGCTTCGGTGCCGACGGACCCTGGAAAGGCTCTCAGAATGGACGGCCCACTCTCGAGTTGAATGTTCGTCGGCTCTGCTGGCCGAGGAGAAGATTGAGGAGCATGAGACAGACGCCACTGAGTTACGTCGTCCAATCACTTCGATAAGATTGTCTATTCTCCTCGGATCAATATCGAAATTACCTAAGTCACGATGTTGATGCTGCGATTGCCATTGCCGATGTTGCTTCGAGGACTCGACTCGATGGGCTGGTGGCAATTGATGAGACCGAATAGACACTGTATGCAACCTGCCAGCCTCATTGATGCTTTGCACCCAGGCGGCAACACGCATGAAGCTGCTAGATGGCGTGCCAAAAGACGTAAAGGACCGCCCACAAGGCAAGGATAAGTCTGGAATAAAGGAGTGCAGTGGCGTGGGCTGGTCACTTGGAGTAACCTTCATGTCTGGGCAGCCTATGGGTGAGATAGATAACGAAGGTGAAGTCGGGAGTGTTGGTGTTAGAGGCAGACTTTGTGAGAGAGACTTTTTTTCGGAGAAAACTTCCGTTGCAGCAACCCATGCCGATAGCGAGGCTGGTGGCGGCTCGGAGACAGATTTATTCATCTCAGCTGACTCACACGATCCCCTAACCTTTCGAGTAAACGATAGGGGCTGAGTTGATGGAGAGATTGGAACAAAGGCTTCTGTGCCAAAAGAACTTTCCAAAAGAGAGTCGATCGCAGTTTTGACTGGTTGCTCAGCCTCTTGATGTCTAGTGTCAGGTATACTCTGGAATGCACCGCCACTAGAAGTAGGCAGAAGGGGGGCGGCGACCACCTGGGCTTTGTCGATTATAATTGCCCGGTTGTCGAGTTTACCCGATTGAATCCTCGAGGGGGGATTGTCAGAATCGGGAGTGTTGGTAGATCGCGAAACCCTGGTTGACCAACGTGGCATACGGGGAGTCGGGCGAGATGAGATGAAATCTCGCGGAGGTGTGAGACAGGCAAGGCGAGCATAGCTGAGAGAGGGTCTGTTAGGTTTTCATAAATAAAAAGCATGATGCATTCAGAATTAATGCTACAATCCTTTTAGAAGATGATGGATAAATCAAAGAAAATTCACTATGCCGCTGACTACAAGATAACCACCCTGAGACATTGAAGCCAATGAAGCTCAGGCTAGCGAGCAGTTCTAGGAGAAAAGTATTTAGGCAAAAGTGAAACCTACTAGAACCAATCAAACACGGTTGTGAAGATTAAAAATGCGACTGCTGAGCTATAGCGAATTGAACCCGTACCATGAATCAAAGAGAATAATTGAAGATATGAAGACCAAGATGTTATGGCCTCTGGTATGGTCGCAGTCTCCTTTAAATTGTGTGTTGACCTCGTTGTCGAAACTTGGTCTTGTTGTCAGGGCAACTAAGTAGAACGCACCTAGTCCGGAGTCGTCTGCCATAGTAGTTGTCATGATTCCCAGCATCAGACAGTGGACTTGGTACATTCTCAAAAGGCTTCGCCGGCATCATAGTCGGCATCATCAGTGAGTTTTGCCATTTTACGCACCAAGCTACGAACTCGTCAGAGACAAGTGAAGTAAATCCCTGGACAAATGTTCTGCCCCAAAAGCGGTTGCACTATCACTCCTCTTTCTGTCCTGGCCTATCTATCTACTCTTTACCCTCTTATCCCACTGCCGCCTATCACAACTTCTCACTTGTTTACATTCCACTCTTTTGTGGCAAATCTAGTGTGGCCTCATCACACCTGCTATTTACCCCGACTCCTCTCTTTCGATCGGCTGATCCGACTCGGGCCTACAATCTGGATCCCCTCATTGTCTCC